CCACAGCCACCCAACTCCCCTTCAGAACCCCTGTTTTTCTGTCGTGCTTGCTCTACATACGATAGCCTCCATTTTCTCCATTCTCACATTTTGGGGGTCAAGCGTTCCTGCAGAAAATTGTGGAAGCTTGCACACCGCTGCCAAAACACATCACGTTCTCCACATCAGCTGGATGTCAGCATGACTAGTTAACTGCTTTACTTTCCCCAGGACCAAAGACAGGGTCTGGCAGGAGTGGAGGAAGAGTGCATGTAACTAATAAAAATTATTGGGCCAGCAGTCCAGAAGATTCTCCTCCTGGCCACTTAGGTTGCATATCATTAAAAACCTTGGGAAATATTTTTAGCTGGTTGCCCTTGCGGGCACCCAGACGAAACTGTTCCTGGAGTAGAAGCTGCTCCTGAGGGTCTTGCTGTTTTCTCTCATCAGCTTCTTGTCTTTTTAATTTGAGCGAGTATTCTAAACATTCATCTTAAATGAAGGTTTGTCCTCAAACTCCCACATAAACTCTCCTCCTACTTCACATAGAAATGCAACAACATCAGGTATCTTGTTCTTCAATTTAATGCATGTTCCACATGAATCTCTCTAGACCCAGGATGCACAGTCCTTCGGTCTTAGAAGATGTGGGGGCTTCTGCTGCTGAAAGTCCATCCTCCACCAAAGTCCTTGAATTTGTCCCTCCCCGTCTCCTGAGACAGCCTGCCTTACCGATTTAATTTTTTAAATTCCCTATCCCTCAGCGTATAAATTGTCTGAATCATACTCCTATCTTAAAAATTCCTTTCATTTTTCTTTTTGTCTACTAGCATCTGATTTATCTCTGGCCTTGCCATCTCACTCACTTCTCCCTAAAAAATAGTCCCCACCTAGATAATAGTTCCCGTCTATCTCTCATTCTCATTTTGCCCTCTGCATCTGGCTTCTACCTGGGATCAACCCATTGAAAGTGCTCCTGTTGAGATCATGGAACACTTCTTAAGTGCTAACTGCCATTGATGCTTTCCAGTCTGTCTTTCAGAATTTCTCCCCTGCACTTCATACAATTGCTTATCTGCTCCTGCCTGAAACGCTCTCTTCTTTTGGGTTAGGGAAGCCACGTTCGCCTCCCTGTCCTCGCTCCTCTTGGACCACTCATTCCTGGTTACCTTTGGAGACACCATCTGCGCTGCTTCCTCAGGTTGGGATGGCACAGAGCTACAACCTTGCTCAACTCCTCCTCTTTTTCTAGAACTTCTTCCTAGGAAACGTCATAGTTTGGGTTTAATTACCACCTTTATGCTAAGGACTCCAAGATCTTTAATTTAAGCCAAGATTTTTCTGCTGAGCTTCAGATTTATATTTTTAATTGCCATTTGGATATTTTCACTGCAGGTTCCATAGGTATGTACAATGTAACACGACCCAAATTAAACTCCTCATCTTCTCCCAACTACCAGCCATCCTGTTCCTCCTCTGTACCTTCATTTCAGTCTGAGGTACCCCCTTGCATACATTCTTTTTGCTCCCAACCATCCTTTCCTGAGCATGTTTTGGGCTATGGTTGCCTTACTCAATCCAATTTTGTTTGCTTTTTGTCTTTATTAATTTTTCCCATTTTTGTGTTATTTTGTTTATGGATGACACTCCTTTTTTCTTGCTCATGTGCTTTGTAAATAATGTACCTATATCTTTTCTCTTATGTCAAAGAATTTGAGGTGAGAACAGGAGGCTGCAGCATGAACACAGTGTACCATCTTGAACTGAAACCAATGGTATTATATTTTTGTATAACTGAATTTTGTGATACAATAAACAAATCCACATTAAAGAAATGTTATAAAATAAAGAAATAATCTTTTTTTGTGATTGACATGTGATATTTTGAAGTTTTAAAGTATTATTTAACTATTTTTATTTGGATTGCTAGTTAATATTGTTATAAAAATGGAGGTCCAAAAATTTATGGACAAGCAGTTGCCAGGTAACTGCTAAAAAAAAGTGTTTATAAAATCCATATCTATAGTTGAAGAGAGACCATACAGGGATGGTGGTGAATATTATACTTAATTCACACTCATGAATTTCCTTGGACAAGTTAGGAAAGTCTGCACACGAGTGAGGTCATGCCTTCCAGACAGCCAGGCAGCTGCTCTCCTTGCTAAGTTAGAATGCATTTTATTTTAAAATTAAAGCACACATATAGTTAAAGACACACCTACACCCCTTTTCCATACACATGTGTACACACACATGTACACCCAAACATTCTCACTTAACCACACCACCCCCGCCAATATATATCTGGGGGAATGTCCACAGGGATCTCAAACAGAGGAGGATTTATGAATCTGGTGATCTCTCACAGCCAGCCAGCCACCACCACTGGCACTGGATTGTAATCTTGTACTTGGTTTGCTACCACTCCTTCATACAACAGTAAATAGTGATTTTCAAACAGTGTGGGAGACCAAAGGGAAACCTTTTCTGCCTCCCGTTGGCACAGAACGCTATTAATGGGCCGTGGAGGGTCCCCACTACGCAAGGCACTCAGCCACTTCCTCCTCTCTGTGCTCACAGACGCTGAGATTATCAAATTCTAAAGGAGCAGTTTGAAAAATGACTTCACTTTTGGGAATTTGTGGGCTGTATATATTTATATGTTTTATTTCTGCTTGCCATGGGGAGTTGAGTGTCTGCTATTGACATAAAGTTTATAAAGCACTTTGAGCTTCTGGGATACATGAGATGTGATTACAAAGGAGGATAAGAATCTCAAAGAAGGGTAAAGAGGGAGTACTGGCCCTCTGTTTTTTTTCCCATTCCCATGATTTTTATTTTAATAGAAATTCCATGTGCAGAGGGGACATAAGACCATATGGGGAGATGGCAGTAGACTTCTAAGAAGTAATGAGTAATTTGATAAAAAGATAGAATTCATAGTGTACGAGAACATGGCTTCTTCAGTCAGAGACTTGAGTGTGAATCCTTACTCTATCACTTACAATGTGTCAGGCTTTATCCTATAAGCTTTGCAATAATCAGCTCTATTAATACTTATAACAATTGTGTGAGGTAGATACTATTAATATTCACATTTTATAGATGAGTAAACAGAGGTACAGAGAAGTCAGTCACTTGCCCAAGTCACAAGGTCACACAGCTGGTCAGTGGCAGAGCCAAGTTGAGCTGGGATGACATGTATTAAGGCTCTCATGGGGGTGGTGGCTGGCAGAGGCCACCGTCACTGAACATCTATTCTTCCCCACACTCTATGGTGTCTCATCTACATGGTGCATAACAGCTGAAAAATATTAGTTTTCAAATTTTAAATCATGAAACATACCACTTATAAACATGTAGTAGGATGTTTATAAGTAAATTTTTTATTTATAACATATTATCTTTTCTTTATAACATATTTTAGTTAATTCATGATTCAGCAGGATAAAAAGTATATCTGAAGCTGACATTTCTCTCCTAGTTTGCTTGTGGCAGTCATTTGATCCAATTTTCAGCAGCAATTTAGATTATCTGTTCCATTATTTGCCATTATATTCAGCTCCAGGATATAGTTGATACAAAAAAACAAACCTATCCCAGGCATCGATATTAAGTCATTTTGATATGTATCTGATAAAAATGAACTTTTGAATAAACATAATTGAAGGGCATAAGTATATATGCATTTCAAGTACCATAGATGTTCCTGATAAATTTTTCTAAAGTAATTTAGCATACTTACAGGAGAAATGAACACAAGCTATAAAATAACATTCTGAGAACAGCTACAGAAAAGAAGAAATAGTTTGCGTCCCAAACACCTATGAATTTCATTTTGCCTTAAAGCGAGCGTACTTAGTTGAGAGCATGCATTGTGCGAGGAGTATTGCCCCATAATAGCTCGGCGATTTTGCTGAATCCAGCTCCTGGCATTGAATCTGGACATCAAGTCCAGCCACAGTGTAAATACATCATCACTGCTAATATTGAGAGCAGTTGGAGGAAGAGGGCAAGGAATCAAGAAAAATAAATGAAAATGAGATCAAGAGAAAAGGGTGAGGTGCACAGAACTTGTCCAAATAACGTGGAGCAACAAATGAAGCAAAGAAAGAACGCTTGAGACTGCTTATTTGCATGAAAATGAAGAAGAAAAACAATAGAACACATTCCAAATAGTAAAAGTCCAGTCATTTTCTAAGTAAGAAAAATGGCTACGTCTCTGAATAGATAGATAATAAAGAATATGGTGACATGTAACTATGTGACCTCTGCTGGGGATGAAAAATACTTAGTCCAGCGATTATTTTTTATATTTCTGTTTTTTTCACTATCAATGAATGTTTTTGTAGCATGGGATGGCTTTTTAAATGTTAAGATATTATAAGTGCATTTTGAGGTAACTTCACGGTGCCTTCTCGGCTCTGCTTTCTATGTACCACTATATCAAACAAATGATGTTTGTATACACCACACTTTCAAGCATAAGTCACTTTCAAAAGAGTGCTTTAAAAAGTTTTGTTCCACAACAAATCGCTGCTAGAGTTTTATTCTTTCTCCTTTTGTTTTATGAATAGTCAGCCAAATTAACTAAAGAGGGACAAAGCTGATAAGTTTTCTGATATGAACTTGAGTTATTATTGGTAAATATACATCAATTTAAGAGGTTCAGCTTTATAGATAATGCACAAAATATCACACTAGATAGTTCAAATTGTTAAGACCAGGTGAATGGCTATGCAAAGCAACCGAGTTTCATTTAATCTTTCTTTATAACATCATTTGAAAAATATATATATATTAACATGGCAACTGAATTTACAGGAGAAATCAATTATATTATTATCTGTACATACTCCCCCCTTAGTAACACTGCAATGGGTCACAGTACTAGAGAAATGCTGCTATCCTTCATGGAAAAATCCATGAGTAACATTATGAAAAAATTAATTTATGATAAATGATTTAAATATAAAACTCAAAATAGCTCAACTAAGCATCATCAGAAAGGAACACCTCACCCGCAAAAAGGAGTCTAGGGAGCCATTCTCCATGTATTCCACCACGATCATTACTGGTCTGCCTGCAAAGAGAGCAAGAGAACACATAAGGATTACAGCAATTGCGGGAATATGTGCTGCAGCTGGAGATGTCCATCTGTGGCAGCTAAATTATCTGATTTTATTAATAGGAACTTCATTTTCCAACACGCTTCTATAAAAGTACTATTATATACACAGGCACCTCTCCATTTCTTAACAGTATTTTTTCTTTGAGTTCATAAAAAGAACATAAATTCCTATATGGATTACAAAGGAATTAAGCATTTCCTTTTCTAAAGCCCTGCAATCACTTGTGTACATTGTTTCTTTTGTCCTGAGCTTTTCCCTAAAAGACAGTCACCAGCTGAGGGCAGGGTGGAAGCAGTGACTGCGGCTGCTTTGGCAGCTCTGGGACAGCTTCTCCTAAGAGACGCAGTAATTATGGTTGAATTACATTAGACCAGACATTTCTGAAATATTCCTAAGGCAAAGCAGAAAGGAGAAATTCATAAATTCTCTTTAAGAAATTATAAGCCATCGGTCATAGTCTGCTTTTAAGGGCTTTTAAGTAGAAAAATGTCAGTAGATTGATGAACCCACAGAGTTGGTGGGATTTGTAATAGTTCTTGATCATCTCTTTATTGGACATAGATTAGATCAACAGAACAACGAGGGCATGGGTGACAAATAAGGAACTCTGATTTCGTAGTCTTGTAAAGAAGCTAAAATCAGAAACTGAGCATGATTTATTTCTTTTTTACCATATCTATTCGCAATTGCTACAGTTCCCAATAGACCTCTATTAGGTAGAATATTTGACATAAATAATTTTGATTTGTTTCAAAGAAAAGAATCTATTTGTTCTGCCCAGTTGCTCAAGTTTAAAAGATACTCTTCAGATGAAGGGAAAATGATATTTACTTCAAATAAACATGTATGACATACTTTTTACGTCTATATTTCTTGCTTCTCATTGGAATTTTTAGCGATTCAGTCTGCACTGTGCACAGATTTTCCCTCATGAGCACAAAGAAGATGTAGAAAGAAATTATGTGTACCAATGATGGAATATTAGATCTCGTATTGTAATTCATGTTCCTTTTATGAATTCGAAGCCTTGTGGGTTAGAAAGGGTAACTGTAGCAAATTAGCACCATGGCTGCAAACGCTAGATTTTAGACTGGAATCTATATTTTAACAAAAGAAGTGCTAAAGGTTAAATGTAGTAATAAAGCTCTCAATTTATCATGCACAGAATTAGAACCCAAAGAAGTTTTCCATTTTGGTGGATTTCTCCAATGTTCCTCAGCCATTAACTTCACCAAAATATAGACGAAGAACTTAATCAGAAAATACTGAGGTCAAAAGAACTGTCAGCACTATTGTAGGCAGGGATCTAGAAGATGCAGGTCTTAAATCTGAAAGTTTGTCATGAAATCTTTTATTTGGCCACTGTTTTCAGAGAGCTTGGAGAAAGGAGCCTGGTGCAAACACTGGGTTAGCAAGGTACAGAAAATAAAAGGTCATTTTTATATTTACACATAAAAATTCTGAGACCAAGATTCCAGTTTGAATGATAACGGATTCTGGCTGTTAGGGGAAGCTGGCTGTTACAACGACTGCCCAAGCTCTTCCCCTGCTCGCGGTCTCACCCTCTCAATCTGTCTTGACCACGGCTGCCAGAGAAACATATTTAGTTTTTCAAAAATGTATTTTAAAAAACATTTACCCTTTCCCTAAGAATGCCAGTTGTATTAGTACAAAAACAGCTTACAAGCATTTTTACTTCTATTGATACACATAGCACTGTCCCTACTGCACAGGTGAGGAAAAGAGGGACGGACAACTAGCCTACCTGCCCAAAGTCAAACAGCTAGCAAGGGCAGTATCAGGCAGTCTGTCTCAGAGCTTCAGCTCTTCCCCTTCTGCCATCGGCGCCTCTCAGACTTGGTTCATAGATCAAAGCTGGAAGGCCCACCCGGGCCTCTCCAGCGATGGACCGCATCTCTCCCAACCAGCCTTATCTGCTGCTCCACCACTGTCATTGTCACCTGTGCTTGTTCCATCCTGTCTCCTGCCTTTCCCTTTTGGTATTTCCCTGCCAGGGTTATCTCCCAACTTGCTCCTCTCCTTCACAACACCCTACAGGTCCCCAGAGTTTACACACGGCACCTCCTTCTTGAAAGTCTCCCACAGTGATGCTTCCTACAGTTGCATTCCCATCACATCTACTGTATTGTACACCGTTGCACACAGAACATTTCGTGTTCTGTGCCACGAAATACTGTGCCTGGTTTTATATTAGGTTGTTTTCCTTTGTCATCTTCCCATAGATGCTTTGTATCCCCATTCACTGGGTTTCTCAAGGTCACCGCCCACAGAGCAGAGCAGAGTAGGTACCTCATCCAAACAAGCTGATTTTTCTCATCAATTTCACAATTCCTCAGAGAGTAACACTGAAGCATTCCAGCAAGATTCTGATCTATTTGAATACAAAGTACTTTGAAATTAGTTCTACCTATAACTCCTTGAGAGATACTGTATGCAATCTTAAAATTCATCAGTGACAAGTTTTATCTTCTCATTAAAGATAATAAAAAGTCATGAGAAGGCTCCCGTGGTTTCCTGTGAATTGCCAGTTTCACACCTGAGCTCTGCATCTTTTGTATTTTGTGCAGTAGCTTCAAGTGAGAGCAGCTGTTCTTAAACTACGGCACTGTTTTTTCAGAACACTGCTGGCATCTAACCTGTAATTTGTTTCCTAGTGGTTTTCCGTAGGGAAGTTAGTTACTCTGTGAAGATTACAAGGAACTTTACAGTCCGTGATTAGAGGAACTTGATGGTCCATGATTACACTGTATAATCAAGGAACTAGATAAGCATAAGGGAAATTATACAAGTTAGGATGGTGAGGTGAGAGAAGTCTAGTGGAAACAGTACTTTTTCTGTCTTATTTTTAAATATGTAAAAATTATATAATGCTTTGTTGCTCTCGGAAAATATATTTGGAGGTGATTCTTTTTATATTTTCAAAAGATTTCAGCTTATTTCATTTTTTACAATTTTAGCCAGTTACTCCAAGTGTCTCATGTCACAGAATTACCTTAGTATTTGCATTGTACTGAAGTCAACAGACAAAATCCAGCATTCTTGAATGTTAGTCAAGTCTCGAAATTCTCAGCTCTGTTTTTTGGAGGAAGATTTACCCTGAGCTAACATCTGTTGCCAATCTTCCTCTTTTTGCTTGAGGAAGATTTGCCCAGAGCTAATATTTTTGTGCCAATCTTCCTCTATTTTGTTTGTGGGGCGAGCCACAGCATGGCCACCAATGAGTAGTGTAGGTCTGTGCCCAGGAACTGAACCTGGCTGCCAAAGAGGAGCAAGTGGAACTTAACCACTAGGCAATGGGGCCAGCTCCACCCAGAGGAGGATCTTTTTTAGAAGCCTCATCAGTTTGACTTAAGAGAGCTTCAAAAATACTTCTACAAGTCACATAAAGTGAATTTCTTTTGTTTTCCTTCATAAATAGCCCAGAAATAGTTATGGATATTTTAAACTGCATTGGAATCAAGATCCTGCAAGAAATCTCTTATTTATATTCTGAACATAAAGAATCATAAAATCCAATATCATCTTTTCGTAACAGAGAAGAACCATTATTTCCTTTAATTGGGACTTTTCTGGACTATTGACTAATGAATCTTTTTTCAAATTTGCAGCTTCCCAACACTTATGATGATTGTGATACAGGTGGTGTTGAGAAACCTTCTGACCATAAGATTATACTTTTCTTGTGCTGTTAAAGAAAACAAAGGAAAGACATTGTTTAAATGTTCTCGGGAAATCTTGGGAAAAAATACTTGCGGGTGAAATAGTGGTTTTTTTTGGTCTCAGAGAAGTTTTTTGAAAGAAAGGAATTACAGAGATTTAACATTTTCGTAAAAGTAATGAGTTTGTGCTGGATGTAGTATTTTGTATCAGTTTGGCAATTTAATGTGCAGTCAGTAACATGAAGAATCTAAACAGATCTCAATAACTCTGAATCTCTATTACAGATTTAAATCAATTCTAGTTTATTTAACATTATATTGCATCTATATTTTGCCTACCAGGTAATAAAATTTGTGGCGATAACTTGGATTGACAGTTAGGTCGCTTGTATTTTTCCCCCAGTTACAATTCAGGACTTTTTGAGCCAATTATTTAATCTATTTCTACCTCCTCTGTTTCTGCTGTTGAGATAGTGAATTATAATTATAATCTCAAACGGAGTTGATAATAAAGGAAATAATTTTCTTATCCCTCTAAGGCATTCAAAAGATACAGATGATATAAAGTTGAGCAAAGTTATAATATATTAAATAATTATTTTTATTCACAAGATAAGAACTAAAATTGAGGAATTGTTTTCCTCTTACTCTGCTGCCTAGCAAGTATCAGATCATGTCCCACATGAGTCTTATCCTCAGTGAGTTTGAATGCAAACTTTAACATTTCCCCTGAATTTTCTTTTCCTCCTATATTCCCGTCTTGATTAAAACATCACCATCCATCTAGTTGCCTGGGTTTCAACCCGTTTCCATATGGGACTTCTCACCTTATCAAAGGCCTGTTAGTCCATTGGTTACTAAGTTGTGCTGCTTCTATAGAAAATCTATTATCACCGCCCACCTTCTGCTTGTATTTTCTCTTGCTTGAGGTACTACAGTAATTGTTTCCTGTTTTTCTTACTCCTATTGTTTTCCCCATCACAAGCCAACACTTGTACAACCATTAATTTTGAACACTGAGGGATCCATCAAATATACTTTTTAAATGCCTACTATGTATCAAGTGCTCTTCTGGTTTCTGGAGACACAGCCTCCATCACTACAAGCTACCACCTTCATGGGGTTTCCGGTGGAGAGCAGACTAAAAATCAGTGAATCACTACAAAGGGCTTAATGTCTGTCCCCGCCGTTTAAAGACTGCTTTACTCACTGTACTGTTTGCTTCAGGGCCACAGGCTCAATGCCTTGGCAATTCACTGCCTTCATCATCT